TTTTTGTATTTTATTTAGAGACAAAGTCTCACTGAGTTGCCTAACACCTCACTTTTGCTGAGGCTGGCTTTGAACTCCCAATCCTCTTGTCTCAGCCTCCCAGAGCCACAGGGATAAATCTTACTCTCTCTCTCTCTTAATAGTTGAAATACTTTATTCTTTTTACAGTACTTTAATCAAACACAGCTGAAACTTTTTGTATGCATATGGAATTACACCTGTTAGAATTTCAACTCTTTGACACGCCCCTGTGCGCTCCCGGATTACGGCGGGTCTCTCCAGAGCTGCGGAGCTGCAGAGCCGCTCGCTCCAGCTTAAAGAAAGAAGATTCAAAAAAGATACATAGATTTTCCTGAAGATAGGGTCTTACTAAGTTGTTGAAGCTGGCCTTGAACTTGTGATTCTCCTGCCTCAGCCTCCCAAGATGCTGGAATGTTAGGAAGGATTCCTGATTGTGAACCAGGTTACTTCTTTTGAACAAGAAAAGTCTTAAGCTTGACTTCAGATCATTGAGTGGGAAGAGCAGCCACCCAGCTAATATGCAATAGGTTGTAGGCTCAGGAGCATAATTGGTAGTAGATTCTGGGGGGTAAGTCACAGAAGGCTAAACAGGTTTTTAAAGGCTGCCATCAGCGAGCTGAGGCAATAGAACCAAAAGCTAGTCAGTTTTGAAGTTCTAAGGGAAGATTTCTACTGCTTACCAGGTCTTGAGCCCTACAGAGACAGGCCCTCCTGAAGGAAATACTACTTTGTCCACCACCTTTGTTTATCCAAGGCTTATGGAGTTTACAACTGTCCTGGCAGACCTCCACAAGGAGGCTAACTGTCCCATCTGTCTGAAGTGCTTGAAAAACCCAGTGACGATCCATTGTGGGCATAACTTCTGCCTGTCCTGCATCAGTGTGTGCTGGAAGGATCTAAAGAATAGTTTCCCCTGCCCTTTATGCCACTTTCACTGTCCAGAAAGGAAGTTCAGGCAGAATTACCAGCTGAGTAACTTGACTGAAATTGCTAAGCTACTCCCATTACGAAGAAGCAAGAGAAAAAGACAGGAAGGAAAGTTTATATGTGAGAAGCACAAACAAGCTCTGACTTTTTTCTGTCAGAAAGACCTAGAGGTTTTATGTCCGCAGTGCCGTTTCTCCATTGATCACCAGCATCACACTATTTGGCCTGTAAGGAAGGCTGCCCTCTATCACAGGGAAAAATTGGAGTGCTACATTGACCCATGGAAGGAGAGAGTGGAACAAATTGAAAAAACGATTAGTATGCAAAGTAGAAAATCCCTGGAAGTGAAGAAAAAGGTAGAACGTAGGAGAGAAGAGCTCAAATCTGAATTTGAACAAATTGCATTGTTTCTCCAAAACGAGCATGAGACTGCTCTTAGGCAACTACAAGATGAAGAGATGGATATTTCAGAGAAACTGCAGGAAAACTTGACACAGCTTCCAGATCATGCCTCCTCATTAAAATATCTGTTGAAGGAGATAGAGAGCAAATATGTAAAATCAGAAGTGAAATTACTGGAAAATGTTAAGAGTATCTACCCCAGATATGAAACCTCAAAATGCCCTGAAACTTTTTCATTCAAATTAAAAGATTATGTTTACCAGCTTCCTCCACAATATTCTGGCCTAAGTAGAATTATCAAGCAATTTCACGTAGATATAGTTCTAGATCCTGAAACAGCCCATCGGAACCTTATTATCTCTGAAGACAGAAAAAGTGTGCAGTATGGAAGTATAAAAATAAGACCTGATCATTCCAGAAGATTTTATCTCTGCCCAGCTGTTCTAGGTTCTGAGGGATTTCATTCTGGCAGACAGTACTGGCAGGTAGAAGTGAAAGACAAGCCTGAATGGATTGTGGGTGTCTGTAAACACACTCTTTATAGAAGAAGGAAGATTCAAAGAAAAACAGTTGTAGTACAGGATGGATTATGGGGAATTGGGCATTGTAGTCAGACTAATTATGTTGCATTGGGTTTTGAGGAAATTAGTATTCTCCCAAAAGTTACACCTAGTAAGATTGGTGTTTTCTTAGACTCCGAAATGGGTGAGGTTTCCTTTTATAATATGGATGATAGAGCTCTTCTCTATACTTTTGATGATGATTTTACAGAAACGCTTTGGCCTTATTTCTGCACTGGAACTGACTCAAAACCTCTTAAAATCTGTACAGTAACAGATTCTGATTGGTGATGTATTCGAAGATTTCTTTTTCTTTCAGTTAGTGGACATAACTGAGCCAGTGAATCTTGTTGACAGTTGCTTTTTTAAAAAATGTTTTTACTATTAAAAAACTATTATTTCATATAAAATTTTAAGTCAGTTCATAAAAATGTAGTTCCTGATTTATAGGCATATTATGGGGTCTAATTGGGAAGTGCTTTAGAAATTCTTAGATAAAATATTTGGGAAAAAATGTATTACTTTGGAAAGTATTACTTCAATGATTGTTAATAAAAGTGAATTGGATTTAAAAAAAAAAAAAGAATTTCAACTCTTTACAAACTTGCTTTTAGTTTACGATCCAGAAACAAGTAATCTTAAACCTTTTTAATTTTTTTATTTGTTCTTTTTAGTTATATATGACAGTAGAATGTATTTTGACATATCATACATACATGGGGTATAACTTCCCATTCTTGTAGTATACATGATGTGGAGTTACACTGGTCGTGTATTCATATATGAACATAGGAAAGTTATGTCTGATGTAAACCTTTTTTAATTTTCCAATTTTTGTAAATTGGTAAATTTAATAGCCCAAATATATGTTACCTTATGGAATTCAAGAAGCCAAGAGTTCTTGAATTTATACTTAGTTGATGTTTTAGTATTTTAACTTTGTAAATTAGCCAGATGTCTCCTCTAACAAACACATTTATGAAGATTAATTCCATTTATGTTAAAACTAATTTACCCATTTCTAACTTAGGTTACCCATGAAAACCAATTTTGATATCATGTACATGATAGAGATACAAGCCCATATATAGACATAACATACAATACACAGGTTAAAATACAGCCTGTCACAGATTTTTTTTAAAAAAGATTGAAACAATATCTTTATTTTACTTATTTAGTTTTTTATGTGGTTCTAGGGATGGAACCCAGAGCCTCATGCATGCATGCTAGGCAAGTGCTCTACCACTGAGCCACAACTCCAACCCTGTCCCAGATTTATTTTACAGAATGACAGATACATGAAAATGGGCTATGCAGTTGGTAACATTAGGAATAGAGTCTGTCAGCCATGGTGGATGCTGAAATCAAAGGTTTAGTTGGCCATTGTCCTCCATGGGGAAAGATTTATTCCTACCATCACTACTGCTTATTTTCCCTGCTTAGGACTCTCCAAAGGAAAAGATTTCCATTGTTCTTCCCTGTCCTTAGACCTAGAATTTTTATTACAACCCCCCCTTTTTAAGGTTTCTATAATTAAGCTTCCTGGTGTACTCAACCCCTGCTTGTTGGGGGTTTCTTGTATACCCCGGGCACCCTGTGTGCTCTATCCTCCTTACTGAGGATTTCTTGCACACAAACTCCCACCCCCCTTTCCTGAGTGTGCTCTCAGTGTTTCTGAATAGAGTCCCAACCCCCGCCTTTTGGGGATTTCTTGCTCTCATGCCTCAGTCATACTCACAGAATCTCCAAGATGCCATGACCATCAAGGAAGTACTTCTCCTTGGTCCTTGAGAGTAGATTTTCCTACCTTGGTTCATGCCTGGAGTTACCTGGCCTCCAGGGTGCTTGCTTGGGTCCCTTCCCCTCTTTGTGGATCCACTTTTGATTTGGGGGCCATTGCTAGGCTCAAGGATCACAGTTTCCTCCCCTGCTCTGGGGCCACTGCAATAAGGCAGTGGGAAGTGTCTCCTCTAAGGAAGGAGACCCATGACCCCTAGGCAATGTAGGGAGCTCCACACTTGGCACCAAAATTGTTAGAAACACCTAAGTGCAGCAAGAAATCAAATGCAGGGCTTGGGCTGTAGCTCAAGAGTGCTTGCCAGGCCTGTGTGGGGCATTGAGTTCGATTCTCAGCACCGCATCCAAATAAATAAATAGAATAAATGTCCATTGACCACTAAAAATAAAAAATAAATCAAACACATGCTCAGAAGTAGGTGGGCAAGACAAACTTAACTTCTGCTAAAGAACTTACCTAGCAAGCGCACTTGGGCAGGCAGTTCAGCTGTTTTTATCTCTAATTCAATGCTCCCTCTTGCCCTGATTGGAGAAGGTGGGGTTAGTGATTGGATAGTTTTAAAACTGGGCTACAATTGGGCTAAAATTGGCTACAATGGTATCTTACAACCCAATTAAGGCTAAATACTATATTCTCAAAATGAACCACCGAACTTTCTAAACTCACACAGCATCACCCGGTGAAAGTCTTCCCTGACCACTCTGCCAAATCTCACCCTTCTACATCACCCCATTACTGTGCTGTTTTCAAAGTTATTTGGTTTTGTAAAGAAAAAAAATGCAATTTATAACGTGATGCATACTATTTATTTATATGTTTACTTGAAAATACAAAGGTTGTTGACTCCGTGTTCTCATATCAGTCTTTCCCCAGACATTCACCAAATAAGCAGAGAGGCTTTCGAGGTGCGCAACAACCCGTTTTGGTTCTTTCACCCCATTGTCTATCTTCCCTTCTACAACCTAAGTTCCAGGATGGCTGGAACCTTGTCTGTCTGGTTCAGTCTCACACAGCAAGCGCTCGGGGTTCATGTCTAAGGACACAGGTCTCTTCCATTTGCATGCACAGCTCCTTCATCCTCTGCTGCTGCAGTGGGAAGAGCGAGCTCAGGCCGCTGCTGAGAAAGGATGCGAGTGGAGAATCCAGGCATGTGGACATCCAGCACCCAGAGCTGTCCCCGAAGCCACGCCCCTCAGGCTCCGCCTCCACAGGGCGGGCGGCCCTTTAAAGGGGCGGGGCCTCGTTGCCTGTTGGGGCGCGCACCTCGGTCTCGCTTCGAGGCTGGAGTCTGCGCGCTGGCGCCCGGTGCCCCGCGCCCCAGGTACCCTGTGCCCCGCAGCGCGCCGGGGGAGGCGGGGCTTCTCCTGCGCGGCGGGCATGTTTACCGGCCCGCACAGGCGGCGCGGTGCGGCTCGGGCACCTGCGCCCACGGCGGGCGGCCACGAGGGGCCATGATCCGGCTGGGCGGCTGGTGTGCGCTGCGGCCCCGCGGCGCGCCGGGCCCTGCGGAGCGGCGCCGGGCATCCGGCGGGCCGGCGGGCCGGGAAGGCGGCCGCGCCCTGCGGGTGCTGGTGGACATGGACGGCGTGCTGGCCGACTTCGAGGGCGGTTTCCTCAAGAAGTTCCGCGCGCGCTTCCCCGACCTGCCCTTCATCGCGCTGGAGGACCGGCGCGGCTTCTGGGTGTCGAAGCAATACGGCCTCCTGCGGCCGGGATTGAGCGTGAGCATCCCTTGCCTCGGTCCCCTCTGGGTGTCTCTCGGGTAGTCCTTCTTGCTCACCGCGGGCAGGGAAATCGAGGCTGCCTTCCCGGCCCTGGGCGGAGAGCTCCCTTTGGAGTCCAGCAGCCCGAGTGACCTTGCGCGGGTCACCGCCGTAGCCTTGGGGTGGTCCTCTTGTAAAACAGGGTTCAGGGGAGGATGAGAGGGCAGCGCTTGAGCTGTCCTGCACCATTTATCTTTGCCTGTCACCGGGGTTTCTAACGATGATATACCTAAACACTCTATCTGCAGCCAATTTTTCAATTTTCGGTATATTTGGCTTCAGGTCGTTTGTTAATTAAAATTTTACCTATGACTTTAACAGGTGTCTTTACCCTTCTCTTTTGCCCTACTCCACGAAAGCATAGCTTGTGTGATATTGGAGGCTCAGAGGTTCAATAACCAGGGAGACCCATGGTTAAGGTGAGGTGGAATCCACCCCCTAGCCTGTCCCAAAATTCAGTGCCAAATACCTGTCCTGCTGAATACCTGAGCGCCCCCAAACTGTGCTCTGCCCCCCGAGTCCTTCATGGATAGATAGAAATATCCATACAGGGACCTTTGCAGAGAGCATAATTTGTAGATTTAAACTGTTTTGTGAAAGGAACAGAGGATTTTGCCATACACAAACTAAAAGAGGCTGGGAATTTTATAGCATCCCTTGATTAGCCACTTGGGGTCACTGCAGAGGGTTTGATGGTGAGGATAAAGAGCCCAAGTTCACTGCCTTATCTCTTCTGAAGGTAGGCATTGTTATCTCCGTTTTGCTGATGAGGAAACTTGGCCAAGTCATCTGATGGTTAAGAGGCCCTGGCAGGATTCAAACTCCAGTCTGTCTGCCTGCTAGGCACATTTTAGCTTTTCCCTTCCAAAGTCCTGTCGCCTGTCCTGCCCTAACAATTGACATTTCTTTTGACTCCAACAAAGCATAATACAACAATTTGTTTTGTCCCACAATAATTTGGGGGAAAACAAGCACTAACTTGAAGTCCAGAGCTGCACTTCGCTCCTGCTGGGCCCTCCAGTTTCAGGGAGTAGTGGAAGCATTCCCACCTGCCAAGTGTGGGCATCCTGTACAGGGAAGGACCACAAAGGTGGAACAGCACACCTCCTCAGGAGAGACCCAGCGCCTTACCATGGTGAAACACTGTGAAGGGGAAGGGTCTTCCTGAGGTTCAGGTGTCAGAGGAAGTTCTCAAGTACCATTTCTCTTTATTCACAGTGTCACCATAAGAGGGTGGGAAGTGGTCTCTCCACAGGCAAGGAGATCTCTGCTCAGACCTTCTAGGTTCTTGACATTTTGCAGAAAAGAATTTAAGGGTGCATCAGGTTGTAGCAAAGAGGAAGAGCTGTATTAGAAAGTGGAAGATGAAGGTGTGCATTCTCAGAGCAGACCATGGTCCGTTTTGAGTGAGAAGCACATTTTTGGGTCACAGGTTTTTTTCTTTTCTTTTTTAGTGGTAGGGAACGAACCCAGTAGAACTTTATCCCTGAGCTACAACCTAGTCCTTTTATTTTTATTATTTATTTTTTGTTGAGGCAGGCCCTCCTAAGTTGCCCAAGCCAGTCCTCTAACTCTCAGCCTCTTGAGTCCAAGATTACAGGCATCTACCCCTGCGCTTGGCTCATGGGCTTTTCTTTTAAAGGAAACTCTGTGGGGTGGACCTGGGAAGGTATGTGGGAATGGCATCTGTCTGGTGATTACAAGATGTTTAAGATGGTGTGGTCTCCTGAAGTATTCAGGTTGTCATTATCTCTTCTTTCTAGATAACATTTGGAAGGTGCCTATATTGTAGGTTTCTTAAAATACATCTCCTTTTTTTCTTTATCTAATTGAAAAGTACATTGTGTAAGCTAATAGTGCTCATAAGCATTAAAACAAGGCAATTTTCATAGACGAGTGAATTTATGATAACTTTCAGATTTATCGATTTCTCAAGAATTTGGGGATGACAGGCCGGTAAGCACGACAGGTCTGGGGAATAAAGGTGTCAAGTCCTGTGATCATGGGGATTTTACATTTAAAGTTGGAGTCTCTTTTTCCTTCTCTTCTGTTTCCTTTCAGCCTATCTTTTAATCTCTTTTGTATCCTACCTCAAAACCAGGACTTCTGAAGGTGAATTCCACAGAGCCTGGTACGCTGATCTCTCCTGGTACTGAGACCTCATTAAAAACTGAAAATCAAAGAACATACCCATGTCATTTCAGTGATGTTTGGTGTTCATTTGTAGATAGGTGACCGAGTATTGGAATTCAGGACACCTTATTTCCTCCCAAGAGTTTATGATGGCTGAACTAAGTCCATCCCCAACTCTGAAAAGCACAGTGGTTTTTCCTGCCCTTTTCACAGAGATCCAGGCTCAAGGTCTAAGGAGACAGATTCCTGTTTTCCAAGTACAGGGAGAAGGAGCAGCTCGTGGGGAAAATAGGAGGTGCTCCAGGAGGAACCTGTGTTTGGATAAGGCACTTCTACTTTGCAGAATAAAGTCCCTTAGTTCCAGGATCTTCCTTGGATATCAAAATCCACAAACGCTCAAGGGTCTTACATAAAATGGTGTAGTACTTACATGTAACCTACCCACTTTCCATATACTTTAAGTCACACTTAGATAACTTATAATGCCTGATACAATGTAAATAGTTGCTATCCTGCACTGTTTAGGGGAATAATGACAAGGAAAAATGTCTAGGCATATTTAGTATTGACGCAGTGTGTTTTTTTCCAAATGTTTTCCATCTGTGGTTGGTTGAGTCTGTTGCATGCAGAACCTGTGGATATGGAGGGCTGATTGCATTATCTGTGTTCCATTTGATCTTCACAGTATTCAGTTAGGTAAGCAGGGCAGAGACGGAAAGAAAAGCTCATTTTTAACAGACTTAGAATCTTAGACTGTTAGGACAGATGCACTGAGCCAGAGAGGGTTGACTAGTGGTTCCCAGAAAGTTAGTGTCAGGGAAGGGGTACTGAGAAACTGTCATCTCAACGTGAGACTTGGGTGCTGAGGTTAATGTATTTGTCACATCCTCATAAGAACCCTGTAAGAAAGGGGCGAGCTTCTGTCTTTATTCTAAGGATAGGAGAGAGGCTCATTTAGTGGAGGTGGTGAACCCAGGTCACATGGCAAGGGCCAGGGCTTTTGGACTTCATCCAGACTGTCTCCACATGAGTTCAAGTCCTGACAGAGTCACCCATAAGGGTCCTTGAACAAAATCTCCCTTATCTGTAAATTGGGGATAGCGATCCTTGGTTCTTGGGGATTGTGAGTATCAGACAAGAAGACATATCTCAGCAATAAGCGCACATTTACTTAGCCCTGTGTAATTCACAAGAATATTGCTTATATGATCTCTTACAGGAGAGGCACTTCTGAACTGCACACCTGGATTTAGGTTCTTGATTCTCAAGAGACTGAGATTTATCACTTTCCCCTTGCCTGGCCCCAGAAAAGATGCTGCCTTTTGAAAATTGGGTTTAGGCCTAACAGCAAAAGGTGGAAAGTTACTGACCTGGGAGTGAAGAGATGGATATTTTACTCCCAGCGAGGTCACTGTCTTGCTGTGTGACATCGGGTAGATATCTTCCCCATTCTGACCCTTGGTTTTCTCATATAAAATGAAGGTCTGGGGCTGGAGTTGTGGCTCAGTGGTAGAGTGCTCGCGTAGCACACGCGAGGCCCTGGGTTCGATTCTCAGCACCACATAAAAATAAATAAGGTACTGTATCCAACTACAACTAAAAAATAAATATTTTAAAAAATAAAATAAAATGAAGGTCTGAATTTTTGCTTTCAAACTTTAAAAGCGGCAGAATATGTTTTGTTTTTTTTTTTAAAGCTATTATTGGCACCTCAACACATAAAGAACATAAAAGCAGAACTGTTTTGGTTGGCAGGAGGAGCCTGGCACTCTCCTGACTTTTCACACTGCCTCCCTTCCCCTTGTCCCACCTGGCTCAGCTGTGCACTTCCAGGGTCTCTGAGTTTATCCAGCCCTCAAGTCTATGGACAGTTCTGCCATGACAAGACCTAGTCCTCTCTCCAGCCTCCACAGTACTTCATTCATTCATTCGAATCAAGTCTGTGGTTCGGGAAGGTTGACCTTAAGCCCCAGAGAGCCCCATGTGCCTCCCCACAGAGCTAACGTGGATCCATGGCCCTGACCCCTTAGCTGGTCCCTGCTGGATCTTAACAGAAGTCACATTCTTCCTGGAAGGGGGCCAGAGCACATGCACGTGCACACACACACACACACACACACACACACACACTCACTCCCTCCCTGTGCTTCCCCCAGGAAATATGTCCTTGGGGGTGTTTAGGGGCGAGGGGAAGGTGGAAATCCCCCTTCTTGTCCGCAACCCTTCCCAGGCAAGGGCAGCAAGGTGCCGAGGAGCCTGGAGGTAATCTGCTTCTCTTGACTTTTCAGGAGAAGGCCATCAGCATCTGGGAGTCTAAGAATTTCTTCTTTGAACTTGAGCCTCTGCCAGGGGCCGTGCAAGCTGTGAAGCAGATGGCCAGCCTACAAAAGTAAGTTTATCTTCCCACCCGGTGGGACCTCCACAGCGTGGGTCTGTACCTCCTCACCTTGTCGCAGAATCTGGTAGAAACTGTTCTGGGTGCATGCTGCCGGCACCAGGGAATTCAGCAACAGCAAAGCCTGGCCCTGGCCTTCTGGGGCTTGTAGCCCAGTGAGAGCAGGCGTTGAGCAGAGAATCACACAGGAAAGACAGCTGCGTGCTATAGGGAGAAGGTTGAAGAGGACCTCACTTGGAAAGAAAGGGTGGTTCAGGAAGAAGGAGAAATTTGAATAAGTAAAAAATGAGAGGTTTTGTGGGCTAAAGCCTCAGAACCATCAACACAGTCCACCAAAACCTGTCAGCAACTACGTAATGATGGGCTTCCCTGAGAACTTTTAAAAACACAATCTCATGGACATAGAATTCACATCCCATAAACAATTCAATTTAAAAAGTACAGTTCAGTGGGTTTTAGTACCTACACAAAGTTGTATAGCCACTGCTGCTATCAATATCAAACTTTTTCATCATCCCCAAAGAGAAACCCCATACCCAATCACCAGTCATTACCCATTCCCATCTTCCTCCTGTAGCCCCGGGCAACCACCAATTCACTTTGTGTCTTTGTAGATTCATCTGTTCTGTACATTTCATTTAAGTAGCATCATACAATGTGTGGTCTTTGGCGTATGACTTCTTTTACTTGGAATAATTTTTTCAAGATACATCCACGTTGTATCATATGTTACTACTTACTGACTTTTATGGCTCAGTAATATTCCATTCTATGGATAGATCACACTTTATCCATCAGCTCATGGATATTTGGGCTGTTTCCACCTTTTGGCTATGTGGAGTAGTGATACTGTGAATATTCACGTAAGTATTTGCTTGAATACCTGTTTTCAGTTCTCTTGGGGATATACGTAAGAGCAGAATTATTGGGTCATAAGGTAATTCTGTGATTAATAGTCTTGAGGATCTACCAAACTGTTCCACGTAGCTGTGCATTTTGCATTCCCACTAGCAATGCGGAAAGGTTCCAGTTTGTCCACATCTTTGTAAATACATGTTATTGTCTTTTTTTATTTTAGTCAACACCCAGTGGGTGTGAATTGATATTGTGGTTTTAATTTGCGATTCCATGAAGGCTAATAATGTTGAATATATTTTCATGAACTTATTGGCCATTTTAATATTTTATTTGAAGAAATATTTATTCATATCCTTTGTTCTTTTTTTTTTTTTTCCAACTGAGTAATGAGTCTTTTGTGTGTGAGTGTGGTTCTGGGGATTGAACCCAGGTCCTTGCATGTGCTATGCAAGCACTTACCTTTGAGCTATATCCCCAGGCCTTTAAAACATTTTTTTTTTTTAATTAAAAAAATTTTTTTTGAGACACATTACCCAGGCTGGTCTCAAACTTACAATCTTCCTGGTCAGCCTCCCAAGTAGCTGTGTGCTACCACGCCTAGCTTAATTGCTCTCTTTTTAATTGTTTCACTTATAAGGTTCTCTATATAGTCTAGATACAAGTTCCTTATCAGATATATGACTTACAGGCACGTCCTCTCATTCTGGGGACTGTTGTTTCACTTTCTTAACTGTGTCCTTTAAAACAGAAAGTTTTTCATTTCAAAGTGGTCCTATTTATTGATTTGTTTTCTTGTCACTTGTGTATTGGGGTCTTATCTAAGCAGCCATTGCCTAATCCAGAGTTACACGGATTTGCTGCTGTGTTTTCTTTAAGAGTTTTAGTTTCTGCTATAACCGAAACAGGCCTGTAATCCATTTTAGGTTTTGTGTATGGTGTAAGGCAGGGATCCAACTTCATTCTTTATAATGTGGATATCCAGTTGTCCCAGAATCATTTGTTGAAAAAGACTATTGTTTTACTTCTTTCAATGTTTTAAGGAAAAGATATTGAGGGTTTTTTTTTTTAAATTTTTTTTTTAGTTGTAGATGGACACAATACCTTTATTTTATTTGTTTGTTTGTTTATTTTTTATATGGTACTGGGAACTGAACCCAGTGCCTCATGCATGCTAAGCAAGCTCTCTACCACTCTGAGCCACAACCCTGGCCCAAGATATTGAGTTTTCTTGGCACTCTTGTTTAAAATCTGAGCTTGAGTTATAGCTCCATGGTAGAGCACTTGCCTCCCATGTGCAAAGCCCTGAGTCCATTTCCCAGAAACACATACAAACACACACACACACACACACACACACACACACACACACCCCAGAATAAAGGAAAAGAAAATCAATTGACTGTAGTATGTAGATTTACTCCTAGATACAGGTAATTTTTATTGCTTGAAGTTTGCTTGTTTCAGCAACCTGTATGACAAATCAAACATGAGGTATGATTTAGCCTTCATTGTGCCAAGTAAGTACCTCCAGAAATTGCCAATTTAAAAAATTCTACTGTGGGGGCTGGGGTTGTGGCTCAGTGGTAGAGCGCTCGCCTAGCATGTGCAAGGGTTCAATCCTCAGCACCACATAAAAATAGGTAAAATGGAAGTGTTGTGTCCAACTCCAACTAAAAAAATAAATATTAAAAAAAAATTCTACTGGGATACACAGGCATCAGAGAACCACAAAATGCTTAGAGTTTCAGTTGCATTGTAGATCTTATTTGTTCGGTAATTTATCTTTGGACTTGAGTCCAGGTCCTGCAGAGTAGTATATTTGATTGTGTTTTATACTATGATTGGTTTTTAGTGGTGTGTGGCAAGAGTTTGGAAAGGCAGAGAATGTGTGCCCAGTTGACCCTCCATATCTATGGGTTCATTGTTGCTAAACATGTACTAGGCCTATTGTGTTAGTCAGCTTTGCATTACTTTAACAAATTACTTGAGATAATCAGCTTAATAAGGAAAGAGGTTTATTTTGGTTCACAGTTTCAGAGGCTTCAGTCTATGGTCACCTGGCCTTGTTGCTTTGGGCCTGTGCTGATTCGGTACATGATGGTAGGAGCATGTAGCAGCGGAGACATGTTCACCTCATGGTGGCCAGGAAGCAAAGAGAGAGACCAGAAGGGTTTGGGGTTCCAATATTCCCTTTAAGGGCATGCCCACGATGAGCTTACTTTCTTTCACTTTCATAGTGCCAGGCATTGGGGACCAAGTCTTTAGGGGACATTTAAGATCCAGATTATAATACCTATGACGGTTGCATCTGTGATGAACATGTACACATTTTTTTTCTATGTGTCATTATTTTCTAAACAATAGCAACTATATCTGTAGCATTTGCATTGTTTTAGGTGTCAGAGGCAATCTAGAGATTATTGAAAGTATTCAGAAAGGTGTGCACAAGTTACATGCAAGTACTACGCCATTTTGTATGAGGAACTTGAACATTCCTGGATTTTGGTTCCTATGGTGGGCAGGGGTCTGGAAACAATCCCCCCCAGATGCTAAGGGATGACTGTATTAGCAGTTAGCTCTCAAGTCTCTCCTCACTGCCTGGGTCTGTGTGTCCTGGATACATGCACACAACCGTGTTCTGGGACACTGTGTCGCACAGTGTTTTAGAGCAAGGAACAGCAGCAGGACTGCCCAGGTCCTGGGTTCTAGAGAACATCTCTCAGGCATTGGGCAAGTTATTGAAATTTCCTGGGTCTGTTTCTTCCTCTGTAAAGTGAAGATAACGAGAAGTGCTCAGTGTAGTATGTGGCACACAGTAGGTACTCAGAAAAGTTAAGTTGTTGCTTTTGTTATTCTGGGAGATTTAGTAGGTATTGCCACAAGAAAAGCATTCTTCAGCGACACAGGATGGGGAACAGTGGATTAAGTAGGCTGCTTCATGCTTCACCATAGAACTTTCCAGAGTGTTTAACTGCCCAAGTGCATGGCAACACCTCATTGGGACAGGAGATAAGGCAACTTTTACCACCTGTAATCTAGCTTCGAAGACTTTTTATCACTGCTTACCTATTTTCACTTTCACAGAAACTGGGAAATGCAAAACTAGACCATACCCAGTGGTCCTTTACCTCTATCTGGGGGAATTTGGTGGAAGAGTCCCATGGTGACTCAGTGGCCATGGAAGAGACCTGATTTCCCATCTGAGAGGCTCCCCCCAAACAGCTTCCTTGGCATGTTGACTGTTAATTACTCAGGAACATATAGGTCTTGTTTTGTGGTTCTGAGGATAGAACCCAGGACCTCCTACAGACCAGTCTATACCACTGAGTTACACTCCTATCCCAAAACATGGATCTAGTCTTTTACAAAAAAAGAACTCAGTGTGGATGTACGGGAAGTGCCCTTTTGCTCTTCCTCCCTCTATACAGCCCTCTGGGTTCTACTCCTTTTGCCCTTGTGAAGATTGTGTTTTGTGTTGTGGGGGAGTACTGGATGGAAAACCCAGCATCTTGCACACGCTAGGCAAGTGCCTTACTGCTGAGCTGGTTCCAGCCTTTCTGTTTTATTTTGAGACAGGTTCTTGCTAAATTGCCCAGGTTAGCCTCCAACTTGCAATCCTCTTGCCTCAGCCTCCACAGTTGCTGGGATTATAGGCATCTACCATTACACACCAGCAAGAATTTGGAGTGCACACTCCCAAGCCTTTTAACATGCACAACGTATATACAAGTTTACATATAGATGTATGAATTTAAATGACCCACCAGCAGCCAGAATGAGCTGTTTTTTAAACTAAATTCTGGTGATGTTAATTCCCAGCTGAAAACTCGGCTGGCTTCACGTTGCACTAAAATCTCCATTACTCTGGGGACGCACTCCAATCTGAAACGGTTATATCTGTGTTTGTCCTTTTCTCTTTCGGGTGACAGCTCCCTGAGGTCAGGGATTGTCTTGGTTCTGGCTCTATTCTCAGTCCACAGAATGATATCTGGTACTTAGCATGTACCCCAAATGTTTGCTGAATGAATAACTCTAGTGTATGTATTCACAAAGTTCTTAGGTTTTTTGGAAAAACATGGATGCCTCGAGGGGCCCAGTGGAAGAAAACATGCTTAACATGAGTGAGGTCCTGGGTT